ACCATCTGATCGTCAGATCACAAGTCGTTTTTGGTACTTGGGTATTTTATTGTATTCTTACTATTACCATAAATAAACTAGCATGATGGGTTGCATCATTAGAGTACTTTTGGGACGACCTCGTACCTGAGATTTTAAGAAAATATACTAAATCGGAGTTCTAGAAGGAAAATCACAAAATACAAAGTGTTGTGCGGTAAGGTTTGAGTCGTGTTAAGATGCTCTAATGGTGTGAGTGCTTCAAGAATTGAAAATCTTGCCTATAAAGTAGAATTTAGATATCGAAATAATATTTCCTAATAATCAGCATGAATTCAATACTACCCATCTATCAAATCTTATAAAATACGTAAGATGTAGCTGTATTAGTTTTTCATGATTTGTGATATTCTCGATTACACCAATACCACCAAAATGGAAAACAAATACAAGCAAGTGATTGATTGATTGACATTTGAGCCTGATCGCTTCGGGTGAAAGCCATGTGTGTCAGGAGAAATGTAGTTTCTGCAGTTAGCAAATTATGCGTCGTTGATGATGATCTCGGAGACTTTACAGATCAGCAGCCACAAAGTGAAGTAATCCCTCGGTAATTTTCCATTTCACGCTTGTCTCCTTTCTTTTAGATCGGAAACATGAACGAAGATTTCCAACGCGATGGAAATTTCCCCTGAAGTAAGGAAATATTGAACAGCTTTAAAAACGCGATGCTGTAGGTAAAATAAAATTCCATTGAAACCTCATTCATTACAACCTCTGAATATGTTTCGTACCACATATGCAATGGAAGCTCTTGCAATGGACTGCAGCGTACAAGCAAGTTTTTCCAGAATGCATATTTTTGAAAAAATCTTCACGAGATGATCATTTGGGGAAACAAACTTAGTTCGAACCTTCCCGCGACTCCATTACAGAAGCTGTTCTTGTCACGAAATATTGCAAATTACGAATCTTACATTTCCCGGTTGGGTGTAAACAGAACTTCTCTTCAGTATGCATGAAGAGATTCCGGCAGGACTAGCAGCCTTCGTATATCAGATCGACGAGTTCCAACGTAGTCGTGGAGATATCAAAGTTGAACAACTCTCTGGAAGTGTTTCTGATTGCATCACCAAGTTTACAAACGAAGCCATTGAATTATTGAAAACATTCTTGATTGCACTTCTCCAGCGGTGCACTGCCAATTATGTCACCTAGATGAATTTCAACCGGTAGCCCATCCTCATTCCTTTTTGTCTCCACAATTGACCAGAATAGCTTTGCGTTGTGCCGAATATTGATTTGTATTCGCATGAGTTGTTCTTTTAGAGGAAACGGTTATACCACCGGTTGGAAACTAACGATTTAAAATTGGCTTACTGCTTGACTAGCCTAATTGGTCCCAAGTACATCTATAAGCGTACCCCATTCTAGTCGAAATTCTAGTACTACACTATGTTTGTTTTGATTAGCTATGAAAGTTTGACAGATAAAATGAGGGGCTAGTGGATTTTCATATGTTTCGAGGGGTGCATCGATTATCTTTGGACCGAAAAGAGTACCAGATCTGAGCCAAAAAGTTGAGCACATTTCTTCGGGACCTTCTGGTCTTAAAGTTACCTCTATGGTTGTAATTTCGATATTGATCACTTACTGCAGAAAATATTCGCATGCGGAATTGCTTATGGGTTTCACAGGGCCTTCCATCGATCATTGGACCATGCAGGTTTACGAGCACATCTCAGCAGAGGAACACATTCGGTTATTGTAGTCCTCACAACCTCGTCAAAGTAGATAACGGCTTCATCAATCGAGACGCATGAGTCAGGAAACTGTCAATTGACCTGGAGTGAATCAAACAGCTGAATCAGTTCTACGAAAGTCCAGGTGGTTAAATGGTGTTATCGATAAGAACGGATACCTACGCAAGATTCTCCGCATCCAAGTTGATCAAAGACTCGAAGACTTCGACAACAGTGCATTCCGGTATGGCAACTTAATATACCAGCACAAGATCAAGCAACCGAGAGTTTTGGTTCAATTTTGAATTGATTTGTGTTAAATCATGCAAATTGAAACCATCCTGCAGAACACTGCAGGCAGATGGCATGTGCGATGGGAGAACGTCAATTGTTGGATGACCATTATTGGAAATATTCCAAACCAAGCCAGACGGGTTGCAATCATCAAATAGTAAAGCAAGGTCTTTATGGTCTAATCGGGAAAGCATAGGTCCAACCGAACTGATGTTTGATGTGACGATATGTGTTGCTTAAACGTCAGCTGGAAATCCAGAATTACTCCCAGATCTTTCACGTGGTTGATAATTGTATCCAGAAGTACATAATTGAACATGATCGGTTCCTTCTTGCGAGAGAAGGTGATTACTGAAAAGTTCACGGGGTTGACCTTTATTCGGTTGAAGTTGCAAGTGTTAGCAAAAGCTTCGAGCTGGCGTTAAAGGAACAGACAGTTATCGATAGTAAGGATCCGCAGATAAATCTTAAGACCATCTGCATACGATATCCGATATCTCTGACGTAGCTGGGTAGAATACTGATAATCACTAACGTAACGGTTACCTTCAGTAGGTGATCACGAAGATATGAGCGAAACCATCGAAGCAGGATGCAATTTATCTCTAGTCTATCTAACTTAGCAATCGCAATTGCATGGTCCCACCATGGTAGGCATTTTCTAAACAGGCCTGATAGGAGTTAAGGTTGAGCTTAAAATCCATAAATTTCAGGGGGAGTTCAGTTCCATTAGTTTCAGAAAATTAGCGGGAAATTTTAGGAATGGCCCAAATTTTCAGAGAACTTCAGATATGTTAAGAAAATTATTAAGGTCTTCACATAAGTTCAGAAGTTCACGGATGCTTACACATGTTTTATTATTCACATTCACTTTTATGGACTGCAAACGTATGTACAGATTTCTATCAACTCGAGATGGACATTCTGAATAGACGATGTAACGGTATTGGCAAGCTAGCTGTGATATGCTTTCCTGAATTGCTGACGGAACGCCAACAGGCCTTGGTTCAAGGACGTCGAGTGCAAATCATCTCAAAGTTGATATAAATTGAACCCAACACTTGACCCGAGTGTTGCTCGCTGCTAGAGTAACGTAGTTGTCGATTAATCTCTCATCAGATAATACGCTGACAATCTTGTTTGAAAAATAAGCGAAAACAATCCCCTGAAGGATTGAAGCAATTTCATCGTTCAACACCACTGACGATGGTAGGCCGGACTCTTGGCGCTGCTCATTTAATTCTAGATGGACTTTGGCTGCAGCTTGATTTTGTTCCTAATCCCACGTTGATGATTGAGCCTAAAGTTGCGATTATTCAGCGACAGCGTACAATAGCTGGTGTTCTTCCTCAATGCGTCTTTATTGGTCGATTTCAACTTTCGCAGATCAGGAAAGGTGTGACACGTTTGAATTGTGAACTATGTTTGGAACGTGCCTATCTATGACATATATTTTCAATCGAGGATGCCCTCCCAATCTATGCTAGGCAGCACATCGACGATACGACGATGATCAACTTTCCGGAAATCGTATGGCACGGTTGTTGAAATGTCCTCAACATTTCGTGGATGATGAGGAACTTGCTTTACCAGTTGAAAAGGTGCCGTGGAGATGAAAGGAGCAGTCTCCCGAGCGCCTACGAAACAGAGGTATATGCTTCGATTGCTCTCGTTAACTACGTGATTGATTACGTTACTGGTTCATTGCGTGATTACTACTTGAAGGACATCTTTAGTTATTACTTGAGATCTTTCTATACCAACCAATGCATCAATGATTTTAAGATCCAGGAACCATCGGTGATTTTTTCTCAGTTGAATTTCGCAAGGCAAAACTCGTAAGTGAATATTCTCAAGCATGAGACTTGAGTTTTTCGCAACACTGTCACAAGTTCGTTGTTTTGCCAAGTTAAGCTCAAAATTACTTATGGTGTATTTTACATGACGGTATTAAGTTCATATTTTGTTTCTGTATGAAATTCGCTCAGAATGTATTAGATGAGTTTATCAACTTTATAAATGCTTACTGTCTGGTAGCAATGCTTAGGGTGATTTATTTCTTCAGAAACCGCTTTCTTGAACCTAAGAAAAGTTTGTCAACTGATTGGTTGTCATCACGAATAAATATTCAAATTACAAAATAACAAATTACTGAAAAACTTTTCTTGAAAAAGTGGCCGCATTCATAAAGGAGACCATTCTGCCGGAGTATTCCTATTTGCATTTGCAAAATTGTTTTGCAAAACCAACATCAAACATGTGTGGTCCGTTCCAGCAGATGAGAGCTGCCCCTTCCTACGGACGACAGCGGTCGCATGTGAGTTTAATCCGCGAGCGCGCCAGGTCACACTCACACCATCAACCGCTCTGCTATTGTCGTTATTGCTGGTCGCGACTTTGATTGCCTTCCGAGGTGAGTCCGGGACGAACAGCAGGTATTCTCGAAGTCATAAATATACGATTTAAAGACAACTTACAGATAACCAACCAAAGCCACCAATACGCACACTCGCACACATATCTACATGTGCAGTTGGATGGCAACCGAGATCATCGAGCGAAGATCGGTTTTCTTGTTGTGAGCCGATTGCTTGGGGGACCCTTGAGATTACTGTGGGGGCTTTCTTGGGGGTTTTTTTTTGAATAATTTATTGGGTGAAGTTTCGGAAAATGGCCTTGCGTGAGATCGCCATTCGTGTTGACTTAAGACTAGGACTTAGCTGCATATATATGCGTTCGATCTCTATGTTATCCTTGTCGTTTCGTCCGCCTACGGATTTCGCATTTATTATGCTTTCGCGGTTTCAGTTGAGTGTACTGGAACATACCAGCTAACAATCTCAACCGTTTCACCATGCAGCACATTGAGCATTGAACATTTGCACATTTTTGTCACACAACTTTTCGCTTTTGAAATTTGGAATGCTCTTATAAACGAACATGGCACTCGATTTAAATCACTCTATCGACAGAGATACTCCTTACCTCTCTCGTTCTCACTTCTTCTTCTTCCTGCCCTAGCAGCTCACCAGGGTGTAAATACAACACACTAAACGCAACAAGATAGCGCACTTCCAGTGGATCCACTTAGAGAGATCCCTGTATGTTCACAATCGGCACTCCCGACAGCGTTCGTCGCTGATTGTCGAGTTCAAATCCCACACGCGCAAAGATTTACCGCAAAACTTCCGGATGTGATACCGAGGCTCAAAACCGATCGGATCCGTTCCCGTTCCGCCCGTCCGAGGGATTCTGCGCGCCAATAAACCGTCACTGAACCAGCTTAATCGCAATAGGCCAAAAAATTCGACAAAAATCCTCTATATTTTAGCAGGTGTCCGCTTCGAACTAAACTACTACCAGCTCTAGGTTTCTTAGCAACTGCGCACCGATCGGATCGGGTGCTGATCAGCGACGTACGGGCGATCGTTCCTTCCTGGTCTCACTTGCACAAACACTGAAAGAGATAGTCGAACAGCAGAACGTTTGTCTGCCATTACCAATCGATGGATCACATCGGTGTTGGTGAGACACCGATTGAAGGAAAGGAATGGCTGCTGCAGGGTCCCCAAACCAAACTGACTTAAGACGGACCTTTGTCGATGTGTACGTGTGCTTAAGTCACCCTGCGGGAGTTGCTACGATCGCTGTCGTGCTGCAGTGACGGCACGGCGGCAATGTGTTGTTAATGTTGACTACCATGGATGGTGATGATGATGCTGACGATGATGATGATGACGGCGGCGATCGAGGTGGGTGTGTTTGCGTGCGTTCACGCTGACAACACTTAAGAGCTTTTCAGCCGAGAGTGACTTGACTTCAAGAAGTCGACGCTTTGGAAGAAAAGAGTTTCTTTATTATATTATGGTTTGGATTTTTACTTTTGTTATGCGCATGCAGGAAAGCATTGAATTTCGTTTGGAAGAGTTATTAAAAGGAAATTCGAGATGGGATCCGATCATCAATAACATGGCGCTGATTGCACATTTTATTGATGAATGTTAAATATATCGAATATATTAATAATGTTTTTAATGGTTACTTGTAAGTTAAATTATGCATACTAAATTCGAATTTATTTTTTCTTAAATCATCTTCAGTTTCAGAAGTTGTTGACGACCATATGCTAGCTCAAGTAACATTTTAAGTTTTAAAATAACTTTATAGCTGTCTACATGGAAAACATCACAAAACCTTTTTTTAAACTTATTGTATTGTCAGTGTTTCCTGCCAACCATCATAAAACTGCATTGCATCCACACGCTCAGATTTTTTGCCGAAATGTGAACCACCGAGCAGCTCGGTATTTAATTTTGCTGGATCTCAGTAAACTTGCCGAGATTCAGCAAAATTTATGTTTGTTAGCTAAATCTCGGTAAGTTTTTCTCTGAGCAATTCATTGGTTTTGTCATTGATTTATTAGAAACCATTAGGTCACAAATTCATACTATTCAGTTTTTACGTTGATGTTTGATGATATCTTTAAATTTAGAAGATTAAATAGTTTTATCCCCAGTTGGCGCCTCCGGAATTTTCTGAGGCATAGAACCTCTGATCACGCCTTCCTTCGGATAGGAAGCAAAGCCGTCGGTCCCCCGTCTATGAGTACATGGGTTGATAGATAGGATCCAGGCGTGGGAGCTGCCCCCTGGCGTCAGTAGCATCGGTATTCAGTACGGAAAACAATATCGACGAAAAACAAATTAAGAATACTTTTGATGTTTTCAAAAATATTTAATAAATATTGGAACTAAAAATTAGAGTGGGATGCCCCTAGTTCGTTCCCCCTTCCTTACTTGACCTGCATTCGGAAGCGGCTTGTGTTGTTATTGTCTATTATTAAGCTACACCCTTCAATTTTTCTATGTCTTGCTCTTCTTAAAAAAAAATACTACCACAAAATAAATTCAAATATATCCCAATTCGTACTTTTATGATCTTAGATTTTGCTCCTCTAATAAATTGTGCACACTGTGACAAAACAGGTTTTTGTTCTTTCTATACCCATTGTGGGGATGGGGGTAAAATTCGCATCCAATCGAAATGTTGGTAAAAACATTTTCGATGATTATGTAGTAGTATAGCAGCTTTAAGTGACGTCATAGGAGCTATATAGCATGTTTGACATACACGCAGTACATTTTAAAAAGGTTTAAGCTAAAAAAGAAAGGATTAAGGATTTTTCACCTCGATTTTCATAAAAACTGTTTATTAATCATATATATTATAATATTTGGACTTGTTAGTCATGAATAAATGATCCCCATATTAAATCCACAAATAAGAAGCAACAGTTTATGTTATCACATTTACAAGACCTGCTTCCTTGTCCATTTTACCCCATCGGTGTGCAAATTAAAAAAAATCGATAATGGACTATTTTATTCAAATTCTTATCATTTTCAAACGTGATTTTTTTTTACTGAAGGCCTGCATGTTTGAAAATGGGTAGCGATTATAAAGTTTCTACACCTTTTGCTCGTAAGATTGTTAAGTTCGACCTTGTTAAAATAACATCATATCGCATTTCTAGCATTTCGTTTATTTTTGCAACACTGAATGTTCCGATTGTCATGAAACACGGTGTATATTTGACGTTTATCCTGCGGAACAAGTAACTGCCAATTTTAACCAACCTGTCCATTTTACCCCACCTACCTTACACTATATTTGAAAGCCTTTTAATGATCTTAGTAGCCTCATCCATGGAAAAGGATGTGATGGAAACACATTTTGACGTAGGACTACGCCGTTGTGGACTATACTAGGGTACATATCAAAAAATTGTGTAACGAATTAGTGTTAGGTTTTGAATGCTTATAACATGGCCATTTATTAATGGATTTGAATTCTTTTCACACCTTTTGATTCAGAATTGGTGTAAGATTTGCTTGGAATGAAGATTATTGTAATTTATCATTAGTAAGCTATTGCAAATTTATCAAAATTTTATGCCGCAATCAACCAATCACGTGCTTGCTTGCTATGGATATCAAGAGAACAGAGAGTGACGACCGGTTGCAAGGTTATAATATAGCTTACCTGTACGTTTTGCTTCAGATCGTCTGGGGATGTGACGATTGTCACATGATGAGACGCCGTATACGGCCGATTAGGCGAACTCAGAATTGAGTTGTATTTCTCTAAAAAGTAGAAAGTTAGTAAAGTTTTCCAACAAATATCTGCTTGAAAACAAGAAAAAAAATTCGTCTTTTAATTCCATAATTAAAATAGTACAAGGTCAATGAGGGGTTATTTAGTGTATAAGTAAATTCCTCCTCTATTTTTTACACAGAAAAAAAATCTGAATTTTTCTGGTGCACGTAAACTAGCAGCTTGCAAAAAATGTTGCAAGCTAAAGTGGAGTGCTGCATACAATATATGGAATGTTGCCAGACCTGTCTCATAAATTTGCACGATCTATAATGTAAACTTGTATGATATATGACGCTCGATTTATGTGCATCATAGTAACGGAAATTCACACTGCTTTTTTGCTGTGTACGAAAAACTTCTTGAATACCGTAGAACTCCGTTGAATATCTAAAATTGCATTTAAACGGCACTCACTTTGAATTTGTTTAACAGGTATCTCTAAAATGCCCAATGGCACTACGCAATGTATTGCAATTGTGAGTTGAATTTGACTCAGGTAACTTTTATCGGCCGTGTAGGCTGGGTAAATTTTTTCTCGATTTTTATCATGTTCGAGAAGATAGTTGAGGAAAATTTGACTCACTCAATGAGTAACCCCTCTTTCACGATTTGTTAAATGTTCAGTGATGTCATGGTGGTTGGAACTGGTGACCCTCCAGAGTAGCTAGTTATTGAAAAAAAAATGTCTCTATTTCTTACAAGGATGCAAAGGGTAATTCTAAATGAGTAACCAGTTCCAAATTTACCATGACACCACTGGGTTGCGGTCTTCATCAAATCTGATCAGATGCATAAGGCCTATTGGAAGGTGAACAGTTGAGTTCAGAATTTGTCTTCCAAGTGGCACTGATAAATTATTCACTTAACTTTATATCTTGACTAGATAGAAGATTTCTGTCTTTGGAAAAGTTTTTGTAGTATATTTTTTACTTCTTATTGGTAGTATACCAGTTAACTTCTTAACTTGCGACTTCAACTAGATAGAAGGTAGCGGTCTTGAAAAAAGTTGTTCTGATGTTCTGTCTTCAGTTCTTATCGTATCTTACTCGAAGGCATCACTAACCACTAGTGCCACTAATGGCTAGCTTAAGTTGACATCTCGACTAGAAGGAAGGTTTCTGTTAACACGATCTATTGTATAGTGGACAGCTCAATTCTAAATTCTTACACCAGGCCCGGCGAGTATACGATTTGACTTTTAACTACTTTGACTATATGTTTAGTATTACTACTGCGTGGAGTCAACGATTTACATACTTGAAGATGCTAATTTGGGGCCTCCCTTAGCTCAGTAGGTAAAGGCACAGCTACAAAGCAAGACCATGCTGGAGGCGGCTGGGTTCAATTCCCGGTCCGGTCTAGGAATTTTTCGGGTTGGAAAATTTCTCGACTTCTCTGGGCATAGAAGTATGATTGGACTTGCCACACAATTATACTAATGCAAAAATGGTACAGGCATCGAAAGCTCTCAATTAATAACTGTGGAAGTGCATCTAGAACACTAAGTTGAGAGCACGCAATCGCAATAAGCTAATATGCGATATGCAATAAGCTTGAAATGCGAAGAAGAAAAAGAAAAAGATGCTAATTTCAAATAACAGACTAAAGTTGTAATTTGTATACGATAGATGAGGAGTTGAAAGCATAGAATTGATACCAAACCGATTTGTACCTTCCTAAAGTTGTCCTTGCTCGCTTTCTACTCTCTATATATGCAATTTTCACACTGCCGTACTCTAAACGGAACTATCAATTCTATATTTTCTCCTCCTTATCTATTGTATACAAATTACCACTTTAGTATGTTATTTGAAATTAGCATCTTCAACTATGTAAATCGTTGACTTCACGCAGAAGTAATACTACACAATAGACAAAAGTACATAACTCTGGATGGGAGCATACCATCAATTACTGTCATTGGTCGAAAGGTACAGTAGCAGCACCTACCCTACCCGTGTCCCCTCGAGATCGTCAAGTCGACGATGACAGGAGCACATACTGTGGTAGAGGTAACAATAGCTGCAATTTCAAAACCTACGACTGGATGCATTCCTTCAGATAACAACTGGAGTGCGGTAAAAATCGGTAGAACTGTTTCAAACACATCGTCGGTACTTGAGCGTGTCGGTGATCATCTCTTTTTGCCAGTGGTGGCGGGGGGATACCCCTCACCACCCCTCTTCAACGGGGGAGTTTGGTGAAGAGAGATGACCAAACCAATTTGTACCTTCCTAAAGTTGTCCTTGCTCGCTTTCAACTCTCAATATGCAATTTTCACACTGCCGTACTCTAACGTTCGGTAATTTTTAT